TGACAGACTATCATCACTGTCGTGTCCGTATATTGTTTAATATGTTTGTAATTGATATCTTTGATAATGGCTTAAGTAAGCCGAAAGCTTAGATTATATTAAAAAAATATGGATCAATATTGTGAATTTCTTTCTTCGCTTAATGATAATGTTATCAAACTTATCAGATGTTACGAACAAATTTTACATAAAATAAATAGACAACACTTGTCTATATTATTTAATGAAACGTGTATTATATATATATATATATATATATATATATATATATATATATATATGAAAGGATTTTTACCCAACATTACTTCTTATTACTGCATACACAATATGATTATTGGGTGCTCAGTTATTGTGACCTTTGTACAAGACTAAATCAAATAGATGTCTTTTAAAATGCTGAAGATATTGCTTCTGCTATTCATGTGGAAAATTACTTAACTATATGCACATTTTTCCATTTCAATAGAAATACATATATGGGGCATATAATGAATACATTATATTTAGACAATTATTATTATTGAATAATAAAAGTGAAAAGCTAATTCTAGCAACATGTGATTTTAATATAACTACTGGCACCAAATCGGTCTTCTTCCGACAGTTGAGACAAAGGAAATAAGTGGGGTGAAACTAGAAAGACGAGTTAAATGCAGGTTTCCAGATGTGGATGCTTTTGCTACGGTGAGAGGAGAGCAAGCGAATCATCGGTCCTCAGACAGACACAAATGTTCTGGGAACAACTGAAGACAAATTCATTAATTTACTGGCAGACATGGGAGCAGAAATGTATACTAAACAACACACACATACACAAATGCAGTACACACATACACAAATGCAGTACACCCCCCACATATATATATAGAGTAGCCAACTCCTTAAAATAAAATTGCAGTAGGGCTAGTGTTTCCCAGTCAGGGGACCGCGGGCTATAGGATCTGTAGATCTCCTTACGGTCAGGTCCCCAAACAGCGATCCACAAACCCACAAGACTGGATGAAATCAGTTTAGTATTTTGGAGCGATAGGGATCGTGAAAGTGAAAGAAAAAGGGAATATATATATATATATATATATATATATATATATATATATATAAAGTGAATAAGGAAATATGATAAAGAAGTTAATGGTTAGAGTTGAATTAGAGCAGAAAACAGTAGTATTAAAAAAGTGCTCAATACACATATAAAAAGTTAAAAATTTAACATGTAGAACTTTTTACACATATATATATATATATATATATATATATATATATATATATATATATATATATATATATATATATATATAGTTGGATTGATGTGAGTTTGTGGCCCTGGGTTTCACGCTATTTACGATCGTCAGACAAACTGATTAATTTTTAAATTTTGGATTCATATATGGTTGCGTATATCGGTGTTTTTTATGATAGTAGGAGAAATAATTGTCGTCGGAACGCCACACATACGTACGCAGACATACATACACGCACCGGGCATATGTAATATGTAAATAATATATATAAAAATTGCGTATATATATATATATATATATATATATATATTTGAGAGAGAGAGAGAGAGAGATGTGTAGGTAGAGAAAATTCTAAGCATATTCCGCCAGTTCGTGTTTAATAAGTATATCTTTTAAAATATCGATTCTCAAAATGCAGCACAAAAATACGTCCTACATTAATTAATACTAAACAGTTGGCAAACCTGCGCACATCAATAATAATATTAATAATTGGATCTGATGAAGAAAGGAACTGAAGAACAAAATACGTCGTGCACCATCTTGTCAGGAAATGAAAAGAAAAAATAGTTCTAACAAGCACATTTATTTAGAGAGAATAGGAACCAGTTCAGGAGCACATTTCTTAAGGATTATTGCAGTGATACCATCAAGTCGACATCATTTTTGATGATCCATTTTATCAGGTCATCCCATAAGTTCTGTCCGAATTTTAACTTTTTGTTAAAATGAACGAAATTTAATGTCTAATGGAGCTGAAAATTATTTTTATGTTTAGATGCATTTAAACTGATCAAATTTTATTTCAGAGAACAATAAAATTAAATTTTGTTTGATTAAAACCATGCTAACATGGAAGTACCCAAGAATCATTTGAGGCACATAATGCTTTATGAGTTCAAGAAAGGAAACTCAGCAGCCGAAGCAGCTAGAAACAATCACTCAGTTTAGGGAGAGGAATGTGTGAATGAAAGAACTTGCAGAAGATGGTTTGCAAAATTCAGAGGTGGAGATTTCACACTTGAAGATGAAGATCGAACCGGACGTCCAGTTGAGTTTGATGAAAAGCTTCTTGAAGCAGCCCTTGAAGAAAATCCTGCTTTATCAGTTGAGGAATTGGCAGTGGTTCTCAGTTCAAATCATACAACTGTTCATCGTCATCTTCAACAACTTGGAAAAGTTCCTAAACTTGGAAAATGGGTGCCTCATGAATTGTCTGAAAACAACCTCAAATCCCGAGTTGACACCTGCTCTTCTCTCCATTCTCGCCAACTTTTTTTCACCTTTTTTGGATAGACTTGTGACTGGCGACGAAAAATGGATCTTTTATCGAAATGTTATGCGTCGTAGACAGTGGCTTGGTAAAGGGGAAGGACCCCAGCCACAGCCGAGAAGGGAACTTCATGGGCAAAAGGTTGTTCTTTCAATCTGGTGGGATCGCCAAGGAATAATCCACTTTGAATTCTTACCACCTAATGCAACAATTAATGCTCAAATATACTGTCAGCAATTAGAGCGTTTGAACCAAACTTTGAGGAAAAAAAAGACCTGCTCTAGTGAATCGAAAAGGGGGGATGTTTCATCAGGACAATGCGCGACACCCACACAGCAAGAATCACGTCACAAAAGATCAAAGAACTTGGTTGGGAGAAAATTCCTCATCCACCTTATTCTCCCGATCTTGCTCCTTCAGACTACCATTTGTTTCGTAGCTTACAGAATCATTTGGAAGAAACAGCTTTTGTAACACAGGAAGAGGTTAAAACTGACATTTGTGAGTTCTTCGAATCAAAGCCAAAAAAATTTACAGTAACGGAATTAGTAAGCTTGTTAATAGATGGAAGGAAGTCATAGATAATCAGGGAAAATACATTGTTGATTGAATCTGTAATTAAATATAACATTTGGTCACTTGTTTTCTTTATTCAAAATTCGGACAGAACTTATGGGATGACCTGAGAGAAATGATAGCAGATACCAAGGAGGAGTTATGTGCTTATCACTTAAGATCTGGAGTATCTTTGCTTAACTTTCCACTTACAACTAAGTGGAAAGTTAGGCAAAGATGCTCCAGATAAGTCATGGGTAGAATTTGAAGAGAATATATGAACAAATCATTCTGCTTTATCAATAGAATTAGTTAACACCTCAAATTGAGTGAAGAGAGGAGATACAGAAGACTTACTCTTATTTAATACACTATTAGAACAATGCCAGTAGTCATGAAAGTCAAACTTGTTAGAAGATACGAGGTGCCTCATTTTACTAGCAAAGATTTAGTCTCTTTGAGGACATGTTTACAATTATTTCGAATAGTCACAATAGGAACAACTAGAAAAAGCGCCTGAACAGGTTGGTGTGAACCAGGAAGAAGGTGGTTTCACCTGATATCTAAGAAGAGCTTTGACCATTTAAGTTTTTTTTTAATAGCTGGCTTTTATTTAATTAAGGGGAGAAACAAAAAAAAAATCACATCCTTCGATTGCCCTAAATCATTGGTTATGACATGTCATGTGATTATATAACAAATTCGGGTCAAAAATAATAATGAAAAAAATTATAATAATAATGAAAAATTGGGTTCATATTTCCTTTTATATACATTATTAGCATGAACGTTATTTTTAGTGGGTACACGTGTGTGAGCTGATATCTCTGGGGGTTGGGGGGGGGCTCTTCTCAAACAGTTAAATTAATAACAACTGGCCCAAATCGAAAAGTCCTACTAAATAAAAATTGCAACCCCACCCCTATGTGCCAAGTGTCCTAAACAATCTTATTACCACGATTTGAATTTTCAAGAAAATCGGGGTCATCCCAATTAATGACAAATATTAAAATGCACATATATGAAAAATCATTCAATTCAGCATATTTTTGTATTATATATATATATATATATATATATATATATATATATATATATATATATATATGATTAAGAATAGATTTCCAAATTTTTATCCATTTTTGTTCCTTAATTTTGTCTTTTCATTTCATTTTATTTAATAGCTTGTTATTAAATATTTCATTTTCCATTTTTTTTCATCACATCATATTCTACCCACCGCCTGTCTTTCTAAATTTGACAACTTGGCCCGACAATTTTTGCTACAACTTGCGACACGCGAGACGTCTTTCCCCCTTCCCAACCTATAACTCTCTTAATCAATGTTTACAACTCACTCACTCCCACGACACACACTAGTAATAATAGCCCTTCCTAACACTTTTACACCTATCAAAATTTTAAATTTAAGTCTATTTTCATAAAATGTTTTACACATCGAGGAATCAGAGATCAGATTTTTCTAACAATACGATTTCCACTGGGAAACACCCCATCTACAAAACCATCTGTCGGTGAGTAATAATTCCCATTTTTTGTTTATTCTTTGGTCTGTTGATGAAGGACACAGACGTGTCCGAAAATTCCGAACTTTAAACCTTTCTCTCCGTGCTTCATTTTTGTCATATTTATCTTACTGACTATATTGGTGCCCTTTCGTTTGTTCTTGTTCTATTAAATAACCTATCTATTTTACTCCCCCCCACACACACATATTGAGATGGTAAGAGTGAAAGAGGAAAGTAAAACAAAAGAGACAAAAAAGGAAAAATAGAAATGTGAAAAAAGAAAGTCAAGAAGGGAAGAAAAGAAGGTGAGGGAGGAAAAGACAGAAAATCATAAGAAAAGTTAGAAAAAAAAGGAGAAAAGAAAGAAAGAGAATAAAGAAAAGATTGAAAAAGAAAGGAAAATCAAGGGAAGAGGAAAGAGAAAATAATGAGAAAAGAAAAAGGAATGAAAAGGAAGGTAAAAGAAAGGAAAGAGAAAAGAAGGAAAGAATAAAAGAAAGGCAGAGTGAGATAAAAAAAATAGAAAGAGAAAGGGATGAGAAAAAGAAAAGTAGTCAAAGTGAGAGAAGAAAGAGAGTAGTAAGAGAACGTGAGGAGAGGAAAACGAAGGGTGAGAGTATTGAAATTATTACAAGCCTTTCGGAGTAAGCACCCTTTGAACGGGCCCCTTGGTATTGTTATAACGATCCCTGTGACTGGCTGAAAAAGAAGCAATCAGAAGACCCTTTACTGAAGCTGCTTCGTTCTGATCTGCGTGCTCCTTTTGAATCTTTCTTCCTCTTTCCCACGCTGGCTTTCAACGACTCGCACGTACAAAAAACATCTCTCGGAAAGAAACTTCACCAACAGATCTGTGGAATCCGGGATTGTAACGCCTACTCCACGTGAAGAAATATCTTCTCAATCCTCAGGAAGATCACACTCTGAGACATCGCTGCCACCACCACAACGACAAGAAATCACAAGATCTCAAAGAACAGTTAAAAGGACGTTTTTCTGTAACAAGTCCGCAAAATAACATTTTTTACAACACTATTATTGTAAAACTTCTTTTTTTTTTCTCTTTTCTTCTCATTCTTCTGTTATACTCATAAAAGGTTTGGTTGCGTTCTTTTTTCTCACGCCGTGTCACATCACTGAATTATCCTTTTTCTTACAGTAATTACTTATCTTTTCGAACAAACTTAAAAGAGTGAAATACCAAATAGGGTAAAGAAAAGTAATGAGAGAGGAAGGCAAGAAGAAAAGAGTGAGAGAAAGAATGAGAAAGAGAAAAGAAGGAAAAAAAGAAAAGGGGTGAAAAAGGAAAGAGAGAAGAAGGCGAGAAGAAAAGGGAGAGTGGAACTGAATATGAAAGAAAAGAGAAGGAAATGCAACTCAAGTGCCCCACACAAAAGACAGTCAAAAAATCCATTACCCTAGTGCCTGATGAACAAAAATAAGTCCAAACAATAGTGACATTGTTTAAGGTTTTTTTTTTTTTTTTTCTAATACACCGCCGCCTTTTTCGACCAGGAATGTACCCACCCCTGCACCAACTGACATTAAGCACCCCTTGAAACTATTCATAATATATAACCAAAACCTTGTCAGCAATTTTAAAACATAAACAATATACATCTTTAAAATAAGTGCTTGACGATATGTGCCGTTCGCAGAACAATTTATTGATGCACAAAATAGAATCAGCAAATAGTTTTAAAATGACTTCAGAAAATACAGCTATCACCAAAACGCATGCGCACTTTCGATAATGAATACGAACAAAAATCGCTACCCACCAAGTTTTTATTTAAATTACCGAAAACCAGAGAATTATCTGATTTAAATGAAATTTTCAACACTCATTAATTAACGAAAAAATTGGCCTACGGACACATCACATTGAAATACTGGTTCCCATACGATCACTAAAGTTAAGCAACATCTACCCTAGTCAGTACCTAGATGGGTGATCACTTGGGAATACCAGGTGCTGTAAACTTGTTTGTACGCGTGGTGTAATGACTCGAAATTTTTAATTCTCATTGGGTTCGTTATATTTCCTTACACGCAAATACCATTGGGGAAAGGTATGAATCTGCTTCTTCTCCCTCAACTACGGGTTAATTATTATAACTTGTATCACTAAACCATTATTATCTTAAAAAGAATTCTTACAATCTAAAAATATTCCTGGCTTTAAATAACCTGGAATTGTTGATAATCCTTAACAAATGACTAAATCAATAAATTCTATGTTGAACAGGTCATTTTAGAAAACATTGTGGTAATATTTAAACTTCCTGTCGATTGAACTTTGCAAAATCTTTCTCTTAAAACAAATTTTCAAAAACACAGGTTTATCAAGTTACTGCTCTTTTCAGTATTGATGGGGGTTTCCTTCCTTGCCTTTTGTCTGGGGTCGAGTGGAACGTCAGAATTTTGATTATGTTATTACTCGTTTTTAGTTACATGTTCTACCCATGTTGTTGCTGTTGAAAGTCTTCAAGTGATGTGCTTTCTGTTATCTGATACAATGTTTTTTGTTGGTGATTCTGTGGCGCCAGTCTACGATTCTCGACGAAGGATAGTCCTCGCTAAGACCTACATGCTTCACTCGCAAAAGAAGCATTTTCCCCCATCGGTCTGAGAAAGTGGTTGTGTTGTATATAGCAGACAGTTTCGATCTTTCTGGGCGAGTTTGATGTCATGCATGGCATCTATATGAAAGACTCGATCTGATGCGGCAATTTAAGAACGTTTCTAGGTTAATGTTTTAGTTTTGCAGCAGCGTGCGGTGTTGGGCGAAACTACCTATAACGCAGGTTATTCTATGTTCCATTTATTTATGTACTAAATTTGTTATAACTGATCCACACACCAACGTGTTTCAAGTGTTTAGTATTTACTAATTCGGCATCCTGAATTTTTATGATGGATTCAGTATACAAACGATCACTTCTTTTATTCCAATTCCAGATTATTTTCTTGTCCCGACTATGAATGCCTATGGCATCGACCAAGCCCTTCTTCATCCTCTGTACATTAGACTTGGGAGGGTAAGCATGAACGCTGTTTTCTATTAATAAATTAATTTGGGATACATTATGAAATGTTTAAGTGATCAGTGCCCATCTCTTTACATCTGTGCTTGTATTTACGCAGAGCATAGTCTAAGAAGAGATTAAAAATGTTGGGGGTGTCTCTCATTTCATCCTTGCCATGCTCCGGATAAGATTTAGAATGTTCCGGTATTGACATGCACGACTTTGTGGACCGATATAATTCTATCAGATCTAGAGTTTTAGGGGATTCGAAGCATGGAAAGCAGTTTCTAATGGAAAGAAGAGGGGGTGTCTATTGATGTGGTCGTGTGTTTCTCCGAGCTCTGAAAATCAAGTATACCATTTTCTATTAAAGAGATAAGCAATTTCCTGGAATTGTTGGATGATATATACAATGATTACACCCCTTGACAAGGCGAAAGCCAAACTGTGTCATGAGGAATTGATTTTTCATAGAACGGTGAAAGCCTCGTTAATATAATATTCACTAGTACCTTTATCATAATCGATCCAATTGAGATACCTCTGTATGCGTGAGGGTCGTAGAGGTTAGCTTTTTGATGCCATAATACGTTAATGTGTGATATACCCCACTTTTTGGATATGCATTTCTGATTTCAGACTCCTTTCGTAAAACTTATAAAGTTGTTTCTATATTTGGGGAGAGGATGAGCTTTCAAAAGGTGATGCTTTATAAGTCTTTAACTTTTTTTATAGTGTTTTCTTTACTTCCTCATCATTAGGTTTGTTATAGTTTGTTTTGGAGACAGTGTATTTTTCGGATGTGTGACACTATTTAGCTATGGTAATTGGCTAACCAATTAAGCATAGAAATTAAAAACGAGAAATACTTAAGGCGAGAAAGAGCTATATCGAAAGACAGACTGAGCGACATTTTTTTAACAAAAAAAGAATGGGAAAAGATTTTATTTCATTTACGAAGAAAGATACTTTTTCGCAGAAGACAGAAAATCCATAAGAGAAAGCCAGATTTCAGATTCTGTCAGAATCAATATCATGATCAGATAGTGACGCGCCAAGGGAGACAGAATTCAGGGAGGAATGATAAAGCAGACCACACACGGCGGACATAAAAAAAAAATCGGCTTCGGTCAATTGTATACATGCAGAAGAAATCAATATTGGCTATCTATCAGAGATATCATTAATATTTTTCATTCTTGGATTCCGACGAAGAAAGTCAGCCGTTATGTATACAGATCTTGATATGATCATTGTTATTGCTTATTCAAACTGTTGACGACAGACTTAATGTCGCCGAAGGTGGGAATCTGGTGATACGAAAATTTTAAGACACGAGAAAAATAAAGAATTTGATTTTCAGGCGGAACACGACCTTCCAGTTTAAAAGTTGACTAGCAGTGATTAATGAGTCGGTAGAGATTCTGCTAAGTGGATTTTGTGTGGCTCAGAATAAGATAAAAATTTAATTATGGCCACGTAGGATTCATAAGAATTCTGGCTGATAGAAAAGAAGGAAAGAAAAGAAAAGAGATTTTTTTTCTGGACGATAATTTTAAGAAGGCCAAGTCTAGCCACATCCACGCTGCCGAGAAATCGTTGCCCAAGTAGTGGCGTGAGTGATAGGCGAAGGTGAATGTATGAGAAAGGCGGGGAAGTTGTTGACACCCACTAAGAGGATTGGTATGAGATACCAATATGAGAAAGGAAGAGTCTAGGAGGATAATTCTCATCTGGCCTCTCCTCACAGACGAGGGAGAGAGCCCCGGGGTGGAAAGTGATTGGCTTCCAAAAATGGGAAGTAATAAATTTTCCTGTCTTGAGGACAAAGAGAATTTTTGTCGGGAATTAAGAATTGTCAAACAACCCAAACTACTACAGGCCCCTACCCCGGAGTTGGTCGGTGTCCATATAAACGAACGTCCCTGGGCGTTCAGAGAGTTGGGCTCGAGATCGGAGACACAGATCGACAGAGAGCTGTTGGGCTGACCAAGATTCCACGGCTTTCGACTTAGTCTTCCTACCAAAAGCAAGTTTTTATTGACGAACGACTTAAGATACCATAACTCGCTTAAGAAATGCAAAAAGTATCACGAATCCACAGAAACGGGCCGGGAGACAGATAGATAAAGTTAATTGTTATTTCTCAACATATTTGAACCTCGTGAGTTTGTTTTATTATTTTTCTTTTACTTATGCTTGTGCGGTATCACCTTTACCCCGGATTCAGCTTGCACTACGGCCCGTCGCCTGATTGATTTCGTCTACCTAAGATCAAAGTCACAACGTGAGTAGGTTAGACTTGAGATCAAAGTAGTTACTTCGGTGACCAAGCGTTGGAGGCAAGCTGAGAACGACAAAGCTGGCATCGACCCGGAAACGACCAGATCGACTGGGACACAGGCCTTAGGAAATGTATGATGCCTATCTCTTCCCATCACTTGTTAAATAGCAGGGTAGACTGGGATTTCTAGTCTTTGTTGGTAACCAGCGTGAGAGAAGGACAACTATAAATTCAAAACCATGGGAAATGGAAAACCACTCTACCAACTTTCCCAAGAAAGTTTGGTTTGGTTTGTTGTGTTTTATGGCATATCAACCTCAATGGGTTATTTAATGCTGACAACTTTTTTTTTCTCCTGGTAATATTTTGTTTTGTCAAAAATCTATTTCTGGTAATATTTTTTTTCTCAAAAATGTATAGCTGGTAATATTATTTTAAAATATGTATTGCTGGTTTTTTTTTGGTTTTTTTTCAAAAACGTATTGTTGGTAATATGTTTTTCAAAAATATATTGCTGGTAATAGTTTTTTTCTTCAAAACTTTATTTCTGGTAATAATTTTTTTTACAAAGTATTTCTGGTATTAAAACCTATTTTTACACTTTTATAATGCCTTTTACCTCAGTTTCAGGGTTAACTATTTGCCCATAGCTGGGACCCTAACAGGTGCTACCACTCTGGGTCAGGGTGGACCTTGGAACACCAGCAATTAAGAAGTGGTTCCACACTCCTCAAAACCTGATCAGAGGCCTTGCTGTTGGACATAGTTTATCGTCATACCCAGGACGCGGATGTAGTTTATTGTCATACACAGGAGGCTTCCCAAGAAGGCATTTCAGTTCAAAGATAATAAACAAAAGAAACATGTGGAGAGCCATCACCACCTAATTTCTGAAGAGATATGGCATTTAAAATGAAATAATAAAGATTAATTAACACATAAGAACTTTGAATGCAAAAAATAATACATGCTACCGAGATGAATGCTAGTTTTTTCAACAGTACTTTTTCCTCTCAGATAAACAAAAGTAGGTATAAAATAAATGGAGTGGGGCGTCTTTCAAATTTTGAGACATTTTTTTTAACTTGATCTTTACAAGATCTTCTAAAACACAATCAAGATAAATATTTTTTTACAAAATGCACTGTTTGCTGGAATTTCAATAAATTTGGTGAGGGTGACAGGTTTCTTGATTTTCACAATTTTATTTAGTGTATCCCCAACCCCCCAGGGTTTATTCAAGAGGCAAGAGCAGGAAAATATAGGATGATGGATATTTCCATATAATGTACAACCCACAAAAAAAAGCAGACAAAAATTAATCTTATGTGCCATGTCCCTTCAGAAAGTGTGTGATCATAGCTCTCCACAACTTCCTATCTTTTGTACCGCTAAGTAATACTTACCTCCTCCTAGTCCCTGTTCTGTCATCCATTTACACAAGTTCATTAGATAATTTACAGTTGTGTAGAAAGATGACCAAGCTTCTCTACACTAATTATTGAACATAGACTCATCCATTTTCTGAGTAGAACACCTGGTCATAAGAAAGTGTGCTGCAAATCATACTGCCACAAGTCATACGTACGAGTCATATGTATTGCTGCACTGAACTACAATATTCAATATTATTGTATTCTTAATCCATCTCCCTCAATTTTTGTTCCAGTGTTTCCTTACAATATTATTAACCAGAACCATTAGCTTAATGAACATTATAATATTTACTCAGTTCCCCTCTCTTGCATTCAATCTGTATCAAATTCTCCAAGCCCTCTTTCCTCTTCACTTACTTAGCTACAAGTGTCCTTTTTGCTCACATTTTTTTTAAAGCTTCTTTGTTACTCACATGTTCAGTCTATGGTATTCTCAGCATCCTTCTGTAGAAATACATGTCAGTTGCCTCAAGTCTCCTCATCATCTGTGAGGAAATTGACTGGCATTCACTGCCATATTGGAGGATTGATATTATATGTTCTAGGTAAACAATAGTTTACTAGATCCTCCATCTTTGCATATAAACCTCCCCTATTTACATTTAACATTACAGTATTCTAGAGATGCAAATAAAGGAATGTTTACATCCCAACCATGAGACCAGTGTTTGAATTTTGAGGTTGATTCATCAGGAAGGTGACTGAAAACCATATCATGGGTTAACCAAAGCCTTGTGAGTAAAATTAGTTAGATGGAACTATTTAGGAGCTGTCTATGGTTATGCTAGCACAAAATCACAAGTCATCATGACCAAGGGTTTAAGTGTATTGGCCTTGTTCAGACTATTGATCTGATAATAGTGCCAGACAATGTGCTCTTTCCCAGAAACAGGAACTAAAGTCCACTCAGCATAGTTGCAATATAAACCAAAGGTGGGCTCTGTGGGTTTTGTAAAAACACAAAATGTTCCTGAGCAGACGTCTACAACAGGGATTTGTCTGCCCTAGCAAACAGGTATACTCAGATATGCAGCCAGCCAGCCACCACCAGAATTAAATTAGGTACAAGTATTGGTAGTCTATGGCATTTGGGTAAGCATAAACCTTTGTTGGTACATATTATGAGTCATTTTTGAGAATAAAGATGCACTTTATATACTAATATCAAATATGGTAAATATACTCAAAAAAAAAAAAAAAAAAAAAAAAAAGTCTCTGATCAGGTCAAAGAAAGAAAACATTTTTATTTTTTAAAATATAAAATAAAATAAAATTGCATAAATTAAAAAGCAAAACGTAGAAAAAATCATTTGCTAATTATTTTTTGTTTTGTCTTCGTCAAATTGATCAGCCGTGAAGGAATGTTCATTGGGTTGAGCCATGAAATGCTTGGCTTATATATATGCTTGTCTGCTTTACTCTTGGAGTCAATCGATTCAGAATCGAGAGTTTCGTATTTCAACTGTTGACAATGTCTTTCATTTGGCCTTAAAGCCTTCTCAGATTCAACTTTGGAGAATTTCCGCTTTTGATTCCGTTTCACAGATTTTGAGGTCTGCGTCTCTGCAGAAACACTTGGCACTTGCTGGACAATCTTTACACTTGACCCCCGAAGAGCAGTGGCGCCACTTGACAATTGCTTAGGTAGTCTGCTTGGGATTTGAATGACCTTGACATTGCTGACATCTTTCTGGATAATATTTCCTCTTGGCTCCTTGAGTAGACTAGCATCCCTGGACCCTTGTTCAACTAATCTCTTTTTTGCCACCTGAAAAACCTTTATATTGCTGGCACCTTGCTGAACAGTGCCTCCATTTGGATCCTGAAGAACACTGGAAATAATGGGCCTTTTCTGGACAGTACCGCCATTTGGATCCTGAGAGACAAGAGTGTTGTTCATTCTTTGGAGAGCATTGGTATGACCTATCTGTTGCTGCACACAGTGTCCACTTGGATCCTGGAGGAGAATGGATCTTTTCTGGATAGTATCTCTAGATGGATCCTGAGAGACAGAAGAGTCATTTGGTTCATCCGAAAGATTAGCACTATCTGGTCCTTGTTGGATTGTGCTCCCACTTGACAATTGAGAGACACTGGTACTATCTTGCCCTTTTGTGATTGTGCCTCCCTTTGGCAAATGAAGAACAGTGTCTCCAGATGGAACTTGGAGGACTGTTCCTCCACTTGGAAAAGAGAGGAGTGTATTAGCATTAGATAACAAAAGGACTTTGGTCTGGCTTGGTACCTGGTCACTACTGCTATTGTTGGATACCTGTTGAACATTATCTCCATTTGATACCTGGCTAACACTGGTACAATCTTGGCTCTGCTGACCACTTTCTCGGTTTGGTATTATGGAAAGTCCAGTTTCCTTCACCACCTGAGGGACATTGTTTTCTTTGGGTTCACCAGCATTGTTTTGCCCTTTCTGAACAATCGTGATGCTAAATTTTTGCTTAACATCATTACTTGTCACACAAGTTCCACTTGATACTTGTTGGGATTTCAAATGGCTTTTGATTTGTTTTACAGGTAGAACTCTGTTATCTTGCTGCGCATGCACAACTTTTGGATCACCCAGCATAGCAGAGTTGCTATTTGGTAAAGATTTTTTTTTAACAGTAAGCAAAGAAATCATCTCAGATTGGAGAGTTTTACTGGTCGAAGAAATTTCTTGTAGAACTACATTTTGTAGCTTAAGTGTTTTATTGCTCTTGTGATTAATTGTATTTGTTCTTTTGACTTCAGCAGATGCAGGGGCACTCATATTACTGGTTGGCTGTTTGGTTCCTGAAGAATTCTTTGGTGTTTTATTCATGCAAGCAGCAGGAATTTTTTCACTTATCAAGGAACTCTTGGAAAAGTCCAATTCTTGAATGTTGGTGTCTGATTTGGTCTGTTTGCTTCGAGTGTTAATTCGTCTCAAGTGAACAATTGTAGCTTTTGTACCATCACTTAAAATATTTTCTTCATATTCTCGTTGAAAATTTGTTGGGATCATTTCAACAGGCTGAGATGATGATGAAGAAGGTGTAGAGCAAGGTGGTGGTAGAGCTTCATGAAGCAACTTTTTCAAGATAGACTGTTCATTTTCACCTGAATGTGAAAAAAAAAAAGGACATCAAAAGTTTGCATTACTTTTCAATAAAACAAATCACAAGGTATGTAATAATAGTGCAAATCCCTTTCGCAAGATTTGTAATCATGATCATGTACAAAATGTTAACTAACTTAAAACAAGACCATCTTTGAAAGCCTACAAGAAATACATTTCTCTCTAACATCAATCACTGACTTTGTAATTGAATACACAACTACCAAATAACTTAATGCTATTAATTAATATTGGTGTTTGAGGCTAGCCCAGGTCTGATTTTCAAATCATGCAAAGAGGCCCTCCCCATTTAGAAAATTGGTCTATCAAAATCTTATGATTATTTTTCACCTTATACTGTACTAAGCAGAGCTTAGTAAACATAAAAACTGGAGCAACACAATCTTTCTATCACAACAGTAGATTAACATTCTTGTAAAATCTGAATACCAGCATGATACAAATACTTATAATTACATTATGATGACAGATGTTAAACATTACCATATGAATGTAATGGATTGCGGCTCAGATTGAGGAATCGAAGAGCTGAGTTCAAATTCCAGTTGAATTCATTAGATTCAATTACATGCTAATACCCTTAGGAAAGGTATGAATTCATCTCTTATGCCCCCTAGCTATGGGTAAATACTAGGACAAACTGAGTTCTATAGCCTTGGGTGGCAACTGGTCTAGGAAAAAGACAAATCTGAATTCAAAATCTGTGGACGGACGTTTGGGTTGGGGACCTTATGGCAACTGTACACCAGTTCCTTGTATTCAGCTCTTCCAAAAAGTGTGGTTGGTTCTGCACAAGCCTTCACTACTATAATGAAAATGCTATGTACCGTTAGTCTGGCTGTGGGTCCTAAAGACTAGGTTAGTTGACTTTCATACATCAAAGCAACAGGAGAGTCCAAATTATATATATATATATCACTTTAAACATTATTTTAGGCGATATCTCTATTTGAGTAGATGCTCGAACAGTTATTTTATTTCATCTACCAGCCTAAATATTTGCAAAATCTTAAAGAAAAATGTGCATAAATAAAATACTGGTTAAAATAAACGGAATGTCTTCTCAAATATGGGTATCCACTAAAAATGTTTAAAATGATACAAATTATATATTATATATATATATATATATATATAGATAGATAGATAGATAGATCTATCTATCTGTATATGTTTACATGTGTTTAATGTATATATTGTATATATAAATACACAGTGCACACTATATGAACTGGAAATACTGGTGTACATGTTTTATTAGAATAATAAGTTTAATGACATTTCAAAATTTGTTGGGCTATTTAATATCTTATATAAGTTTCACAGGACAAAAATTACAATGAAAAATGCAAACAGTAGACATGGGTCCAGTTTACACTAGAGTTAAAACGGTAGAGCGAGTGTAATTAAAAAAAAACAAAAAAAACTTATGAATGCGTCAATAACAGGAGTTATTTCCCTTGTATTGTCTCTAATGAGAAATTCATGTCTCCTATCCTCGAGAAGCCAGCTAAGTGAAGCAAACTATGATTTAAGTGACAGCCATTGTGTTTTAACATCCCTCATTTTCATTTAATTAACAAAAAAAAAAAAAATGAAAGGAAAGTTTTAATTACCTGAGGATGCCAAATTAGGATACATGTACTTTTTATAATTAAAGAGAACAAATTTCTTGTGGAGAGTGATGTCAGACTGAGCCAAAAATGATGCCACATTCTTCAACAGGTCCAAAATTAAAGCAGCTTCTGTAAATATAAAAAGGATCCGTATCTAAATTATATGGTGTATATATATATATATATATATACACAAGATGAAATAGATGTTTAATTTTTTTATTCTATTGCCAACTTTTGGCAAAGATCATTGTGACAATGTGACATTGTCATAAAAAGTAAAAAAAAAAAGTACTTGCAGAATTTCTAAATAGCAAGGTTAGCAAGATAATGATTTTTAATTCATTTTTTCAATTGTTTTAATGATGTTCTAACTGAATGAAATGTGGACAACAGAATAAAAAAATTTTAACATGCTACTTTTTTTTTTACATTGGATATTTCATATCAGTCATTTTATCATATATATATATATATATATATTGTATTTAGGCAGCAATCCTTCATTTATACATGTTTCATTAAAGACAACAGACAAGGTACTGCGATTAAGCTTTTTACTTAATTTTTCTTGTGTTCAAACAAATGTTTTCTTTTCTGGACACAGAGTGCGTAGAAGCTGTCCAAAGGTTCTATAATTGCAAGCACTTTCAACTATACTTTTAGCTGTTGCCAAGGATGATTTTATTTTTGCTTTTTAATTGGGTGTATGGGTTGTGTGTATGTTTTAGTGTTATAGGAATGTTTTATTTTCTGAACACAGCACATTGTGGCTATGTTCATAGTTAATATTATTAAGTGTTGGCTTTTTCCTTTTTATTATTAAGGCTTCCATTATTTTTAATCTTTGTCTACATGTTGTTGAGGTTATTATGTTTGCATTTTCTACTAGTATGTTTCAAATGGCGTCTGGTAAGTTTGTGTGTGTGTGTTACTTTAAATGGGTTCTAATTGAGCTCTGGTCAGATAGGTGTAAGGTAAGGCATCTGGATAGGCATGTAGTTGTGTGACTGATGTAATTATTTATGAGTTCAGTTTGATCAAGAACACAGATCCTTAAGGGGCATTTGAACTCATAAATTATGTTCGTTTGCTGTAATTTTGATTTTGCTGGTGTGTTGTTATTTCTTAGGATAAGGTTGACTGTTTTAGATTTTTAGTAGTAGATAATTTGATTTTTTTTCTTTTTAGGTCAATTGGGGTAGTGTATTTCGTTATGATATTTCTAAGTGACGATTTATCTTGTTGGTAGTTGATGTGTATTTGGTTTTTGTAGAAAATATGTTATTTTCGACTATGTGTTCACTATTGTTGTTATTTACTTTGGGGAGAAATAGTCTATAAAGTGCTTAGGGAAGCCAGTGTTAACTAGTGTCTGTTTTATATTATTGAGTTCTTTAAGAAAGAGTAGTCAAGAGGATGAATTCTGATGTGCTCTTTTTAGGAAGGTTTTTATCACTGCTATTTTGTTCCTGAGTGGACATTCATTTAAAAAGTTAAGGTGGCAAAAGTTTCTGCTAGTGAATTTTTTATATAACGAGGTTATAAAAGTGTTGTTACTATATTCTACACAAATGTCTAAGAATGGAGTTTATTTTTTTGACTAAATTCATAGGTAAAGTTAAGAACAGAGTTTGTTTTTTTTTCAAATGTGGTCTTGAGAGTATCTATTTCTTTAACGTTATTCGCTAAAATAAAAATATCATCTACATAGCGGACACATATTTTAGGTTTACAGACCTGTTCAAATATCATGTTTTCTACATGGGACATGTAATAATTCAAGAAGCATAGGCCAAGTGGATTTCCCATACTAACACCATTAGTTTGGGTGTAAATGTTGCCGTTATTGTCATAGAATGGGACTTTGGTTGTGCATGTGTGTAGTAATTTTTAGAGTATAAATTTATAAAATCTCTCTTAAAACAGGAAAATAGATTTCTTAAGTCCAGTATTGATGAGGGTTTTCTTCCTAAGCTTTTATTTCAAGTGGTGTGGAATGTTAATATCTTGATTATGTCATTATTTTCTCTTCAAGTTATATGTGATATCCATTTTAGTTGTTGCTGCTGTTGAAAGTTTTCGAGTAATGTCATTTCTATTATTTGGTACTGTTTTTTCTTTGTGATTTTGTAGCGCCAGACCACAAGATTCAAAAAAGGATGATCTTTGCCAAGACCCACCAGCTTCACTCAAAGCCATTTCTTACTATTGATCTTAGTAAGCAGTTGTATACAGCAGAGAGTTTTGAGGTTTCTGAACAAGTCTGATACCATGCATGACATCTATATAAAAGTCTAAATCTAACAAGACTATTTAAGAACAGTACTCAAAGTATCAGGTTAATATTAATGTGTAATTTGTCATTTTTATATTTCCCCCCTACCATATCTCACCTTTAAAAGCAAATGCTTATTTTAATACCAACACTATCAGAATGAATCCAGGTATAAGTGGAATTGGTTTCGCTAGTCATAGGACAAGTTCAGAATTCAGACAATAACTATGGTGAAGAAAGGAAACAGACAAAGGTCTTCTTTAAGTCAAAAGGGAGTGAGAGAGATTAGAGAAAATATTATCTCTATTAAAATGACGCATATATTTCTGTAGAAGCTGCTAACATTTTGTCACTGAATATTTCCCATTGCATCTTCCAATCCATTTTCAGTCCTTAATTAGGCAAATAAATTGTCCATGAAAGTAGATAGATCAATGTACAAAAATGCCTGCAGCAATTCAATATATTATCACATTTTATAAAAATCTTCACAGAATGTTAGCTTAATATTTAGAGACGACAGTGTACTCTGCAATATTGGGTTACGCAGACAGGCAAAGGGAATGTGCATATAGCATAATAGTTATTGGCACAGAAAGCAGAATGGAGAGTTCAACTTCTGGGCCAATTTTTTGCATTCACTTTCACACAAATGCCCTTGGGAAAAGTATAAATCCATCTCTTCTCATCCAGCTATGGGTACAATAGTAGGGCAGACAGAGTTCCTCACTGGCCTTGGTTAGTCACCAGTTGGAATCTAAAACCAGTTAGGCATGTGGCTGGCAATGCCTAGCATGATGAGTCTGTGGCCCTATACAGGGGAATCTAATGGCATTGAAGCGTGCAGGGAGGAAGACAGACTAAGGAAATAGGTTGTAAGTATTAAGTTTGATTGATTTGTATTTGATGGCTTATCAACCCTTTGCAGGTTATTTAAAGTCAGAAAAAGCATTTAGATTTTTTAGGAAGATAATAATGGTTTAGTGATATAAACATTACCAATAAACTCATAAGGGGGGGGAGATGTGAATTCATTTGCTCATAAGTGAATATAACAAACTCAATTACATGGTGTGTGTGTGTGTGTATATATATATATATATATATATATATATATATATACACACACACACACACACACACAAGATGGAATAGATGTTTAATTTTTTTATTCTATTGCCAACATTTTGGCAAATAAGATTAAGAGGAAGCTCCCTGATTAAGAATTCTGAGCCATTATTTCATTACACCACCTGCACATCCAAGCTTACAGCACCTGGTATTCCCACAGTGGTCACCCATCTAGGTATTGATCAGGCTTAGTGTTGCTTAACTTTGATGATCATATGGAAACTGGTGTTTCAAGATGATGTGGCCATAAGCCTGGGTGTGATGTGGCAAATCAATCGCTATATGGATGACAAAAGATATAATTAAAAATTATATGCAAATTTTTATATTGAATTTATTTAAAATAAAATGGCCAGACCCCATTCTAATACTTCTTTATTTGATTTCATGGTTTTGTTTACAGTTTAAAAATGCCACAACAACCAATGTTTGTTCGTTTTGTTTATTTATAGATTATCAACACATTGCGTCATTTACAGCTGAAATTTAATGTTTTTCCTAAACAAAGCCTTGTATTTAAACAGTCAAGTATTTTTTTTCTCTTTAAGTAGTAAGACCACTGTTAGTTATGGATATGTATTTTTTTTAATTATATTTTTGAAATCTGTTTTGTTGTTAATTTTACTATAAACATTTATTGTTGGTAATTTTATTACATAAATGTATTTTTATACTTTCATAGTGTTTTCTTTTTGAGTTCACTATTTGCCCATAGCTGGGACCCAAACAGGTGCTACCACCCCAGGTTTGGATGGACCTGGGAACAACAGCAAATAGTGAACTCCTCAAAACCTCCAAACTCCCAATAAGAAGCATTGATGCCAGATGTAGCTTATCGTTATCCCCAGGACTAAACAACCAATGTAACAACCACTTTTAAGATATGATGGTGTTAATGCTATATTAAAGACACAGTATTTTAATACTGCATCATTATGAGTAATATGATAAGTGATGCCATTCTGAAGTTTTTGCTTTGCTTGTATCAAATGAAATTCATGAAACATGTTATCAACTTCAATAAATTTTATGAAGAGACAGTAAACAAGCACTCAACATCCTCGTGCTGTATGGATGTCTTTCTTTAATTGGTCTATATGAAAATAATATACAAACTATTTTCCATAGAGGCACAGCAGAGTAATGGTTAGTGGCTCAGATTAAGGAATCGGAGAGCTGTGTTCAAATTAAAGTTGAGTTCATTACATTCACTTACATACTAATACTCTTGGGAAAGGTATGAATCCATCTCTTCTCTCTCCCCAGTTATGGGTTAAATAACAGGAAAGACAGGGTATTATAACTTTGGGTGGCAACCAGTTTAGGAGAAGGAATCTCTGAATTCAAATCAGATTGCACTATCCTAAAGGTGTATACATGCGGCTAGGGACCACTTGTATCAGCATGTCCTTGAATGTGGCTTTAAAGGGAGCCCAATGATTCATAGGTAACAAGAGGAACTAATTAGCTCTCCATTTTTATAAACCCATATCTTTTTGGTGTCAGTTTAAATTGACATTTTTTTTTATACATCTCAACTATAACCACAAACTAATTTTTTGGAAGGTGAAAATTTCACTGAAATGTTTTCACCTGAAATCAGAAAAATACTAAGGAAAATAGTTTCACTATATAGAAAAAAGAAAACATTGTTTTAAACTAACACTAAGAGGAAACAAGATAAATTTAGATAATTGTTATTTATATAAATATGCCAACAGACAAGATGGAGCTGCTAAATATAATAAAAGTTCACAAGCAAGAAAGTTTTCTTTTTCTTTTTTTTTTAATCATTTCAGCCTAAACAAGGTGATAATGCCACTAGGATCCAAAGAGTTACAGGGAGTGAAAGTGAGTGAGTAGACATTAGTGAGGAGAAAGGAAAATAAAAAAACAGAAGCTGACGGTTGGCATTGCATTTGAATTTTAGAAGATTGTAGATGGCAAGGCAGTAAGAAGTTGGAAGGGTGAGAAGTGCAAGAAACGAAAATATTAGAATAAAACATACATTTGCATCTCGATAATTCAACAATAAAATAGTTTCCAATCTAGTAGCATGCTTGAATTCATGCAGTCAAGGCACTGAGGAGGAAAGCTCATCAGAATAATTATTAAAGAAAAGAGTTACCTAATGGTGCTAGCACTGGAAGTTGGACTCCAAGCATCAAAGCAGCAAGATAGTCATAAATAGATTTAAAATTGACCCCCGTTTTCGGATCATTTTTCTTAAAACAATATTCTCCATACAAGGCAAGTAGCTGTGAAAACAAAAAAAAAATAATTTTAATCCAGATGTTCACACTTACAGGGTTGTCTAATCCAACACAAATAATCAGTGATTTTAACACTTAATAGTACAGTGTAACCCGGATATAAGAGAGTTGTCGGGACCGGAGAAGAAGTCTCTTATATCTGGGTTTCTCTTATATCCGGGTTTGGTCTATTTTATATACATTAACACAGGCTCTAATTTGGGACCAGAGAAAATCTCTCTTATATCCGGGTTTCTCTTATATCCGTGTTACACTGTAATGAGAAATAATGATGGACTAAAATAACAACATCCAAAATGGATTAAAACAACATCATCTAAAATGGATTAAAACAACAACATCTAAAATGGATAGCATATGTAATTCAAAAAGAAAATAATGACATGTTGACATTTCCCAAATTATGAAATTGCTTTTTAACAATTTTGTTTAACTAATGTTTTATATGTTTGAAAAACCATTAATTTTTTTTTTTGGAGCTTCTAAAACACCTAATGTATATACTGTTTATATATGTACATTATATATGTTCCAAAGATTGTCATAGGCATGAGTGATAGTGAGGGCAAGGTCCCACTGTCTATAAAATGCTTCCGTGTCATGTGTCTCAAATAGCCTCTGACAAGTCCAGCTCCAAGCCGGAGAATGGGTGAAAGCAGAAAACTGGCACCTCATAACCAGTTTCTTCAGGTAGAGGGAATCCAACAGCCCAAGAAGGCAGTCCATCAAGAGGAATGAAAAGCCTCATTCTAAATATCCACTGCTTTATGGTTATATCCAAATATGGAAAAGGCTATGGAAACAAATCCAGGCAGAAATTCAGAGTGAAGTCCTGAAGCGGCTGGCTGTCAATACTGACAACTTTCCAGCAACACCTGCAGGCAAGCCATCCCCAAATGTAATACCATATATTCCTTTGGATCTTGTCAGTATGGCCAAGAGGAGGGCCCTGTAGTCTGGGCAGCACTCAGCTTCCATATTCTATTACTTAGGCCTGTCTCTGAAGAGGTCACTGCAGTTTCACCACCAAAGGACTGAATTTTGACCAAATAGGGTGCTACATTTATCTCACATGATAAATGGATGCCTACCGACATTCCCCATGACTTCAAACAAAAGTTTAGGAAGGAAACTCCCATCAATACTGGAAAGAGTGATAACCACTACTGGACTTGAGAATTTCTCTAAAGGTAACATCTTTAGACTGGGTGGTTGAATGATAAAAATTCTATGTTAGATGTTTTGTCTTTCAAAAGGGCTTCTTCAGACTAAATATTTTTACTGATAGCATCATACATATGTAAAGGGGAGGGAATACAAACAAAAGTTAGTTATTATCATGTATCCCAAATCCATCGTTGTCTTGGACAAAGAAGAAAGTGCAATTATTATCATGGAAAATTACAACAAAACAATTAGACTATTACTCCGCAATACAAACGTTTGAGAAAATTGATGAATGTAAAATAATTTCTGAAACACAAAAATTTAATAAAGCAATTAGGAAGTTAATGAGCAAACACACAAAGCAGGCATTCCAATGCAATCAACCATATCTGGAATTGACTGACAAAAGCCACAGGAAAAAATTTTTACACTACTTGAAACAATTAATTTCACATATAAAAATTATTGACATATCAAAAACAGTCTTTCACATATTAAAATACATCATGGGTACAAAGAAATTCCCTATTGGAAATTACTTATAACTGTTGTTAATATCACAGCATTTGCATGAAACAAAATATATTGTAATCCCTAAAGTGGTAGAATTTCATTACTAATTTCAGTTTTTATTTCATAGTAACAAATGCAGCCCAAAATGGTACAATGCCTGACACTGCATTAGTGTGCTCAGCTAGCATCACATTACAAAGTGTGGCAGTTCCTTGATGCAAGTGTAGAGATATTGGCATAGTGTTCATGATCCTTCTGCTTCCATAGATGTCAAATACATCAGAAATTATCATTCCAAGTGAATGAGTACAGGATCTACAGCAGATACCTACAAAAGCGGTCATCCTTCAACATCGAGATTGGAAGAAAATGTACAAAAAGGTAGAATTTTAACACGGTCTTGTACTTCTACCACTATACTGTTCAAAATAAATGATGTTTTATGAAAAGTATCCACGTAGTGCACCAGCTCTCTGTATTCACCCCTTCAAAAAGTGTGGATGGTCCTGTGTGAAACCTTCACCACTATAATCAAATCTCATGTGCTGTTGTCAGGTTGTCGGTTTCCTTGGAACCGATCTGCTTGACCCTCATACACATCCAATTCGAGGGGAGAGTCGAGAGAGTATATATATATATATATATATATATATATATATATATATATATCCCTGAAAAACAACATTACCTGATTATTTATCTATTATATTCTCCTCACCATTGAAGTAAATTAATTTTTTTTTATTTATATAAAAAATCTTGCCCATGACATCAATATCTACTCCAATATAATGAAGCACTATATATATATATATATATATATATATATATATATATATATATAGAGAGAGAGAGAGAGAGAGAGAGAGAGAGAAGTAATGAAAATCTTGGTAATCTGTATGGATAATGCAAAGGAGGATGAAACTTGAGAGCTCAATGTTAAGTCATAGCGAATAATTTAATTTAAAAGATAAACAGACCACTTTAAGGCTCCATAGTAATAATTTATTTCACCAGAGAATTTTACTTTTTCTCTGGATCCTCAGACTTTACTTTCAAAGAAAAAACAAAAAAATGAATTTAAAATTTACACTTTTGACGGGCAGTATTAAGCTTATATAAGTTGAATTAGAGGATGATGAGTAATGGTGTGAAAGACATGGTTGAGTTTAGAGAGGGAAGAGAGAGTTTAAAATTTATCTTTATATTTCTTTTATTACAATATGTAATATTGAGGAAGGAGGGGGTAAGGATCAGACATTGACCTATTTAATTGGTCAATTTAACGGAAATGATATGGGAAAAAAAAAAGGAAGAAAAAAAGGGAAAAAGAAAAAGGGGGTAAGTAAAGAGATAAGAGATCTACGTAGGGTTTTTAGAGGAAGGACATGGGTGACATAACTTTAGCAATTTAGATAAAAACAGATTTCAAAATTTGATAGTAATTTAGATGTTTAAAAATGTTTAAAATATTTATATATATATATATAAAGAAAATAATATATATTTATTTTTATGCTAGTTAGCTATTTAAAATTAAACTTCAATATATATTTTAAAATATTTTATATATACCAAAATATAATATCATATTTATACAAAGAAATATATTTTCCTTATATATATATAAAGTAAACTACGTTTAAAAATTTATACATATATATTTATATATATATTTTTTAAATAAACACATATATATTCAATTTTACAATTTACACATTTATAAATAAAAATTATATGGTTCCAAAAGAACAGAATATGGTTACTATTTCATTAACAAGATATATACTATTTTAACTCAGTTGTAAACATTTTATTGTTATATATATAAAAGAATTAGGATTTTTATATTAAAAGCCTGACGTCGGTTGAATTATGTCATATTTTAAAAATATAAAATTAAAATTGAAAAAAATTGTATATATATATTTACTTTATAATATATATTATATATATATATATTTTTTTTTATTTATATTTTTTTTTAAATTTAAATGTATTTAGAATATTAATGGCACATACAAAATATATATTTTAGTAAACTTTATTTATTTTATTTTTTAATTTTTATTTATTTTAAATATATGTAACCTAAATATATATTAATATACACAAAACAGAATTTTTTTATTTATATTTAACGGCTTTAAAATTATTTTAATGTATATATATTATATATATATATAAAGTATTTTTTGCACTATATTAAAATAAACTATTTAAATATTTGTTAATTAATATTTGTCATTTCATTTATAAACTTTATATACATTTTAAACATAATATATTGTTTATATATATTATATATATTATATAAATAATTGTTTTATATATATATTATAGATATATATAATATACTTTAAATGGTTTTACATATTAATGGACATATATTTTAAAAATTTCATGAATCAGAGAAATATATATATTATACATTTTTATTTTATAAATTTTATAATTTTAAAAAAAAAAAAAAAAAAAAAAAAAAAGTATATTTTCGAATACAGGAAAATGTTTTAAACTGTTATTTAAAATTTAAAATTGTGGTTAAAAAAATTTCATTTAGTAAAATATAAACACCGTTTAAAAAATTGTATAAATAAAATGTATCCTAAACCAAACACATAAAAAAATGTGTTTGTAACAAACACTTGAATGAACTGATTCTAAACACCTCCTGAAAATGAAATTATAACTAAAGTTAGATGATTAAATGGTAATGTATGACCCATTGTTTTTGTACATACATATGAAACTTTATTACTTTAAATCAGGGTTATATATTTAAAATAAATAATTTAATTAAATTAATACATAAAGTTTATAGAAATTACTTAGATAGTTTTCTAGTCTGTGCTTTATATTACTTAAATATTTAAATATAATAGTTTAAAATTTTTAATTTACATATACTTTGTTATATAAATTTAATTACTTACTATGATAATTATCCTTATGTTATAAATATATATATCAATTAAAACTAACAATGAAAATATTTTAAAATTTTATGTTTTTTAAAATTGTAATTAAAATTGTAGTAAATAAAATGAATTTTAACCTGTTCTTTTTATACATATGAAACTTTTACACTTAGGTTACATATATTTAAAATAAATAAATAAATTATAATAAATAAAGTTTACAAATCCGAGAAAATACACCATTAATATTAAAAATAATTTTTAAAATATAAAGGTTTAAAATTGTAATTTACATATATATTGATATTGAAAATAATTTTACTTACTATGAGTAATATTCCTTGTTAAAAGTAATATAGTAACTAATAATAAAAATATTTCAAA